ATTGTGCCACCATATATTTTATTTTATAAATTTATGGAGCACCAAATTTTGCTAAAATGATACATAAATGAGCATGTTGTTAGTGGAAAGTAAATTTTGAAGTGTCATTTGATACGGGGTGTCATTAACGAATCCCGAAGACCCAATTGAGCCCAAAGGGAAGAGCCCAAAGATGAAAAGGAAGAGAAATGTCTCTCCTTGGTGGAATGACTATCACGCGTCTGGCTTGAGAAAAACGACAAAAGGGAAAGAAGATATTTCTTGCAACAATTAGTGGTTTATGAGTGCCATTTAATTACTATTGCAAATTTCTGTTATTTTGTTATTGTGGATCATGGACACTTGTCATGACCAGATAAGCTAGGAAGTTACTAGCCTCTATATAGCCTTTCATCCTTTTGCATGAAAAGCAAGGAAAGAACTTAATACAAAAAAATTCCTTTTCATTCTATCTTTTCTGGAGCTGGCACTGCTCGAAAGTGACCCTTCTATTGCTTTATTCTATCTAGCTTATCATTTGGTGCTTTCATTGTACTTACTCATGGCTCCCAAACCTGAGAACAACTCAGCGTTGCTGCCATCACTCAACAGCAAGATGATTTCAAAAACTTTTTCCTTCCAAATTACCCATGCTCATCAGAGAACAAGGAAGTACCATAACCACCTTTAACCGTACGTCTTCATCAACAGACTCACAACCACCCTCAAAATTCCCAAAATCACCCTCTCTTCTTTTGATGGTAGAGATCTGTTGGATTGGATTTTCAAATCCCAAAACTACTTTGATCTATCCAACACACCACCTGCACAGCAACTCATCCTCATTCCTTTTTTCCTCCAAGGACCTGCTTTGGGTTGGTTCAAATGGCTCCATTCCAACCATCTTCTCACCACTTGGGAAGATTTTCTCCATGCACTAGAGGTACGTTTTGGTCCTTCCTCCTTCACCAATCATGAAGCCAACCTTTACAAACTCCAACCGACTTCCACCGTCCTTGCTTACCAACGACAGTTTGAGTCTCTCTCCAATCGTGTGGTTGGCCTTTCCCCAAATTCACTCCTTAATTGTTTTCTCTCGGGGTTACGTAAGGAGATTCAACACGAACTCACTACCCTTAAACCCTCCTCCCTTACCCAAGCCATCGATCTCACCAAGCTCGTGGAGGATAAACTCACCGCCCAAAAACTACCATCAAATCAGTCTTTCAAACCAACTATTCCCGTTTCTCCTAATACACCACCGTCTTCTCAACCGTCAATTTTGGGGTCACCTCCACCGCTTCCCATTCGACGACTCAATCCCATCGAGCAGCATGAGCGCCGCTCCAAGGGACTCTGTTTCAATTGTGATGAGAAGTTTCATCCGGGTCACAGGTGCGCCCGCAAGTAGTTTTTGTTGTTCTTCACTGATGATGTTGATGGTGAGGGCAACGAGAGTGTGGTTGTTGATCCCGGTACTACCATTCTAGATCTGTTACCAGTTGTCTCTGGTTATGTGGATCTTCCATCATCACCTTCTTCCGGTGAGCATTTTCACCTCTCTCAGGCGACGTTGCTGGGACCTCGTCGCCGCAGACTCTACGTCTCCAAGGGCATGTTCATGAGCTTGAGGTAATGATCCTGGTGGATTTTGGTAGCTCCCATAACATTTTACAACTGTATATTGCTGAATTTTTGGGTCTTCCTACGGTGGCCATTTCGTCATTTTTAGTGATAGTAGGGAATGGGCAAACTATTACTTGCAGCGGTCTTTGTGAATCGGTTCCCGTCCGATTAGCTGAGGAGGTGTTTCACATACCCTTTTTTATATTACCTATTCATGGTACTGATTTAGTGCTAGGGGTTCAGTGGTTACAAACTGATAGGTTTGATATCTCTGCTGAATTGAATATACCTCTTATTAATATGAATTGACGTATCTATGAGATAGTACAAAATTTCCTCGCACAGTGTAATGACAATACACTTTACAGAATACACTTTACAGCTGGAAGCAATCTTCCCAATCCTACCCTTTCTCTCTCCAATCGAGAAAACTCCTTTCCTTTCTCTTTTTTCCTCCTCCTCGGCCTTTCCCGACGTAGACTTATATACTAAGTCCGTTACTGCCTAAAAAATACAACGCCAACTCGTTTTTATTTATTAATTCTATTTTTTTTTATTAACTCGTTTTTTCTCTCCTTTTATATTTTAACCTATATCTATCATTACTCCCCCCGGAAGCTTCACCTTGTCCTCAAGGTGAAATGTAGGAAATTCTTGGGATATAACTTCGACTAATTCCCAACTACTCTCCATAGGTGGAAGATCTTTCCATTGGATGAGGGCTTCCATCTTTCCTTGACTCGTTGGTTCGTGTGTCCGATGAATTGAGCTGGTGACATAATTAATTCATGATCTTCTCGTTAATGAAGCTCGGTAATGGTTGAGGATCCGTCGATGGCTGAATGGTTTTCTTTAACAGTGAAACATGAAATACTGGATGTATTTTGCTGTGTGGAGGTTTGATATCTCTGATACCAATTGATAGGTTTGATATCTCTGCTGAATTGAATATACCTCTTATTAATATGAATTGACGTATCTATGAGATAGTACAAAATTTCCTCGCACAGTGTAATGACAATACACTTTACAGAATACACTTTACATACTGGAAGTAATCTTCCCAATCCTACCCTTTCTCTCTCCAATCGAGAAAACTCCTTTCCTTTCTCTTTTTTCCTCCTCCTCAGCCTTTCCTGACAGACTTATATACTAAGTCTGTTCTGCCTAAAAAAAATACAACGCCAACTGTTTTTATTTATTAATTCTATTTTTTTTTTATTAACTCGTTTTTTCTCTCCTTTTATATTTTAACCTATATCTATCACAAACCCTTGGATCATTTCTCTCGGACTATTCGGTGCCATCGATTCAGTTCACCCACAACAACAAACCCATCACACTTATTGGTAATTTTCCCAACTCTCCAACTTTGGCCACATATTCTCAGTTCTTCCGGTTTGTTTTTACTGATGCTTTTACTTCAGCACACACCATTACTATTACTTCAGCACACACCATTACTGTTACAGAACTGACCTCTACACAACCAGCCTCAAAACCTAACCACCATCCAGATATAGTCTTCCTTTTACAGCAATATTCCACTGTTTTCTCTAAACCATTGACCCTACCTCCTCATCGCACCCAGACCCATCATATCCACCTTCTACCCAACTCCAAACCTGTCAACATCCGCCCTTATCGGTACCCACAATATCAAAAGGATGTTATGACTTCCATGATCCGAGAGATGTTGACTGATGGCATTATTCGCCCTAGTACTAGCCCTTTTTCATCACCGGTGTTATTGGTTCGCAAGAAGGATGACACTTGGCGGTTTTGTGTTGTTTATCGTGCCCTCAATGTTGTTACGGTGAAGGACTGTTTCCCCATCCCAACCATCGATGAGCTTTTAGATGAACTCCATGGGGCCAAGGTTTTCTCTAAACTAGATTTGCGCTCTGGGTACCACCATATTCTTGTGGCGCCTGAAGATTGTTTCAAAACTGCTTTTCGCACAGTCGATGGTCATTTTGAGTTTTGTGTTATGCCATTTGGACTGTCAAACACACCATCCACTTTCCAGGCCACAATGAATGATGTTTTTAGCGTGTACCTTCGCAAATTTGTACTCGTCTTCTTCGACGATATACTGATTTACAACCCTACTTGGGAAAGCCACCTCGATCACTTGCACCAAGTCCTAGAGGTTTTGTTCCAGCAATAGTTGTTTGTAATACTGACGAAGTCTGAATTTGCATTATATGGGAGGTGTTCCCCTAACGTTCGTGCTTATGTTCTTGGGGACACAAAGATAGCTACCTTGGATGAAATTTTGGTCAAGCACCATCGCATTCTCGGCATTCTCAAGACTAATATAAAAAAAGCGCAACAATGTATGGTTTCCCAAGCAAATAGTCACAGGCAAGATAGGTGTCTTCAAGAGGGAGATTGGGTCTGGATTCACCTATAGCCGTATCGACAGGTCTCAATACGCAATAGTGGTTTTCTAAGTTTACAAAGCGCTATCATGGTCTGTTCAAGGTACTCCGGAGAATTGGGACAGTAGCATATGAGCTTCAACTGCCCACGGGAGCCCGAATTTACCCAGTTTTTCACGTCTCCAAGCTCAAACCTTTCCATGGAAAACCCCCGGATACATTGCGACCATTAGATGCTGCTGTTGAAGGCACTCTTGTGCCCCTATACCCTTCAAAATTTTTGGGCTACCGTACTTTGCACAGCAAGCATGGGGGTGTCCGTCAAGTTCTTGTCCAGTGGGAAGGGGTTTCTGAATTGGAAGCTACTTGGGAAGACACTGACTCTCTGAAGGAAGCATACCCGGAAGTCAACCTTGAGGACAAGGTTGGTCGGGATGGGATGGGAAATGATACGGGGGTGTCATTAACGAATCCCGAAGACCCAATTGAGCCCAAAGGGAAGAGCCCAAAGATGAAAAGGAAGAGAAATGTCCCTCCTTGGTGGAACGACTATCACGTGCCTGGCTTGAGAAAAACGACAAAAGGGAAAGAAGATATTTCTTGCAACACCTAGTGGTTTATGAGTGCCATTTAATTACTATTGCAAATTTCTGTTATTTTGTTATTGTGGATCATGGACACTTGTCATGATCAGATAAGCTAGGAAGTTACTAGGCTCTATATAGCCTTTCATCCTTTTGCATGAAAAGCAAGGAAAGAACTTAATACAAAAAAATTCCTTTTCATTCTGTCTTTTTCTGGAGCTGACACTGCTCGAAAGTGACCCTTCTATTGCTTTATTCTTTCTAGCTTATCATCATTTTGTTGGGTCTCTGATTATGGTGATTGTGAAATATTTTAATTTTCAACCTTTTCTTTATTAAACCTGAATGTTTTTTTCAAAACTGGGATTAGGTTGAGAGTTCAATATGCTTTGCTTGATTTAGTCTGTTGAGTTGTTGGATTGCTCAAATGGTTCAATGGATAGTTCTGATTGCAAGCAACTCAGGTGGTAGAGTAACTAGCGTGTTCAGTCTTGTTTACTAAAAAAGTGGTGGTCTAAGAATGTTTCTGTGTGATCTCTTACCTTCTTAATCTCATACTTGAATGCTTTCGCCATATCAATTTATGGATTGCTTTATGTTTGAATATTTTTTTGCAGACTGGGTGGTATCTAAATAGAAATAACTGGAATGATATATCTTTTAGAGATTGCAGTCAGAGCCAATTTAACTACTATGATCAAGTTCCTCATCATGGTTGGGATTTCGGCTATGCTGATGGTACATATGCACCTCATCATGGTTCAGTTTACCGCAATGCTGATGGAACAAATGTACCTCGACATTCCTCTGAACCAACTAGTGTTGCATATGTACCTCACTATACCTCTGAACCAACTAATGCTCACACATATGTACCTCGTCATACCTCTGAACCAACTATTTCTGCTGTAGGACCATCACACCAGCCACAACCAAGGCCATATTGTAAAATTTGTGAGGTTAAGTTGAGTAGTTACAAAGTTATGGAAGCACATATTAGTGGAAAGAAACATCAAACAATGTTGAAGCTTCGCGAGGAAACAGAGACAGAAAGAATATCAAATGGGCAGATTTCAAATTCTCAAGTGGATTTAGCAGTTCAACCTAAGACACGAGAAAAAAACGTGAGTTCTGAACCTACTGTTGCAAAGCACGAGAATTACTTTCGGAAAGATAAAAGGGTTACTCCTGAAGTTCCAGTCGAAGGGAAAACTAGGGATAACACTAGTGCACATGGTCATAATTTCAAGCGAAGTATTGGTGGAGCCAAATCAGGTAAATACATGAAGACAAATGATGGGGTAAGAAGGCCCATGGAATCATCAAAACTTGATATCAATTCTCTGTCCGATTCTGTTGAATTTCCCATCCAAATACATGCATTAGCACCACAGGAAGCTGTGACATCTCATATTTCAAATTCTAAAGTGGATTTAGCAGTTCAACCTAAGACAGCTCTGAAATCTGGGGAAAATAGATGCCTAGAAAAAAATGTGAATTCTGCTGCTACTATGGCCAAACACAAGAATTACTTGCAGAAAGATAAAGGGGTTACTCCTAACCTTCCAGCCGAAGGGAAACCCAGGGATAACACTAGTGCACAGGGTCATAATTTCAAGCATTTGATTGATGGAGCCAAAACAGGTAAATACATGATGACAAATGATGGGGTAAGAAGGCCCATGGAATCATCAAAATTTAATATTAATTCTGTGTCAGATTCTGTAGAATCTCCCATCCAAATACCTGCATTAGCACCAGGGCTGACGTCTCATACAACAATGGCACCAGCACCTGTAGTCGGATCAAGTTTCAAATTTGTATATCAACATATCTTAGCCTTGCAAACACTAGTATTGGAAGCCAAAGAATATCATGATATTCAAAATCCTACTGTACAAACAAGTGATCATCCACATGCTGCTTCATATTCTAACATTAACACCCAACCTGAAGTTGTGAGTTCTGATTCTGCAGCAAGAGTAGTAATAAGACCATCAAAATCAAGATACTGTAAAATTTGTGCTGTTCATATACCACCCTCTTGCAAATTTAATGCACTGGAATTACATAACAAAGGAAAGAAACATCAAAGAATGTTGAGACATCAAGGAGAGTTGAAACTACGAGAGGAATTAGAGACTAGAGCAGCCAAAACAGGTAAACACATAAAGAAGAATAAGGTGGAAAGAAGACCCATGGCATCATCAAAACTTAATATCAGTTCCCATTTTAAATCTGTACAATCTCCTGTAGAAAGATCAATACCAGCTTTAGCACCGTTGCCTGCACTTGTGGCATCTCACACAATTGCACCAACACCTGTAGTGAAATCAAGTGTCGAGCCACAGATTCAGCATGTTTCATTATCGCAGACACTTGTGGCAGAAGGCAATGAACATTATGAGATTGAGAATCCAAATGTAGAAGTGACTGATCAGCCACATGCCCCTGAAAATATGAGTTCTGATTCTACAGCAATAGCAATGACATCATTAGAAGGGTTTATGACAGCTCAGGTATTTGACCCATCTCAGGCAGTGGCATCTAGTTTCGAGCCTCAAATTCAACATGTTCTACAGACATGCATGTTAGAAAGCAAAGAACATCATGAGATTCAGAATCCCACTTTAGAAACAAATGATCAGCCACCAACAACAGAGAGATCAAGTTCTGAACTCCAAATTCAACATGTTTTACATATTGAAACAGAACCTCAACTATCAGAAGGCACAACTGATTCTGAGAGCCAAGATTGTACTGATGAAAAAAACAATCAGCTGCCTCCATCAGTTGTAGTAGAGTTCAATTCCCCTTCATGTTCCAGAGCTAATGCCCAAACTGCAGATGGATGTTCTAATCATGAACAAAAGATGGATATTATCACCCATCAGTCACGGACCACTCAGCTGTCTCAGGTTTTTCTCATTTCTATTTTTTGGTGGAACTAACAAACAATAGTGGTTGCTTAAAAGATTTCATGTACAAATTTGGCTATAAATTAATTGTTTGGTGTTAATGAACCAAATTATCAGCATTACTCTTAGCTTAACAAGAATGATTACGTGTAACCTACTCATTATGATTAATTTAGACTTGTCAATAGAACAAATCTATTATTCAACAAGTTAACAATTGTTGATTGATTATCCATTTTAAATCCTTTTTTTTTCAGGCAGTGTCTCGTCTTCATAAAACATCATAAAATAAACTTCAAATCTTTTTATCATGCTCTTTAGAAAAAATATTGATATGCTCTAGACCCGGCAAGTTTTATGACTTTGATTATCACTTTGAAATGATCTTCTGTTAAAAAAATACTACTAGTTTTTGCTTGCATACATTTGTTACAGTATTTTGTTGAAGAATGTGTTTCTTCTGAGTTGTACATTTGCTTTTATGAATCACTGAAGTAAAACTCTGTACAATTGTTGTTTCAGGTAGCTGTTTGTCTTAAGTGTGGCGATGTAGGATTCCGAGAGACACTTGTCTTTTGCAAGAAGTGTCAGGTTTATGCAATTCATAGGTACTTCCCTTTACTATTCATGTCTACTTGCTTAAATGTACTTGTAGCAATCTTCATCATCGCTTGACTCAGATGCTGGGACTTCTAATGTGCCACGGTGACATTCTTTAAGCTTTTCTTAATAGTAAGGAGGGAGTATTCCCATTTTAGGTGCTGTATCCAAAGAATATTGAAATGACACATAATGGTATTTGTACCTTGAACCTGTGTCAAATGCATGTGGTATTTGTATGATACAATTGTATTAATACCAGTAACTTCCTTTCCCACAAGCTTTTGTTTTTTAGGAACTATGAAGTTTTAGTACCTATGCAATTCATAGGTACTTCCCTTTACTATTCATGTCTACTTGCTTAAATGTACTTGTAGCAATCTTCATCATCGCTTGACTCAGATGCTGGGACTTCTAATGTGCCACGGTGACATTCTTTAAGCTTTTCTTAATAGTAAGGAGGGAGTATTCCCATTTTAGGTGCTGTATCCAAAGAATATTGAAATGACACATAATGGTATTTGTACCTTGAACCTGTGTCAAATGCATGTGGTATTTGTATGATACAATTGTATTAATACCAGTAACTTCCTTTCCCAGAAGCTTTTGTTTTTTAGGAACTATGAAGTTTTAGTTTCACGTTCTTAAAATGCATATATATTGACATTATACTCAACTCTCCTTTATCAGGTATTGTTTAGATGGGCCTGTGATTTTTACCGGTGATGTTACTTGGTTTTGTAATTGTGAACCAGAGGTAGTCGAGACATATGCAAAAAATGCCTCTCTAAACTTAGCAAATAACGCATCTCAAGACAGAATAGATTCCGAAAAATGCATAGAGAGAGTAAAGAAGAAGCAAGGGCCACAAAATATTGCAGCTAAAACAATGGTGCTGCTATCTGATAATCACAATCATGGGTTGTCTCAATGCAGTAACAATACTGAAAAGGAAAATAAGTTTGGGAAAGAGTGTCACCCAGCTCCAAAAGATGAAGCTAATAATAGTGAGGGGTCTATGATTGTGACTGTTCCACATCCTATTGCAGATCCAGTCTGGAGGTAAGAAATTTGTTTTCTACCCTTTTAGAAGCTGATAAATTTTCTAGCTTCTGTGATGAACCATTGTGTGAAGATGAATTTTCTTGCCTTACAGGGGAAGTCTGTGTTACTTCAGCCCTAGTTTTCGTATTGTCATTGGGCTTATAGCCCATATGTCCACATTAGCATGCTCCAAAGTTTTGGAGGAGACAAGATTTTTTCCTGCTGTGCTTTGCCCGGACCTACTGCCAAGATCTGCAGTGTGGCCGAAGTCTTTCATGAATTGTGGTCCAAATGAAGATAGCATTGCTCTTTATTTCTTTCCTGATACTGAAAGGTGAATTTTCAGATAAAAACTAACATCATTTCATTCTTCTCTCTTTAATTCAGTATTAACTATTAAATCTGTCATGCTTTTACAGTGTTGAGAAGGCCTTTGACAATCTGGTTGATCACATGATGTCCAGTGACCTTGCCATAAGAGCTGAGGTTGAAAATGCAGATCTTCTCATTTTTACTTCTGCATTACTCCCTATCCAATGCCGAAGTGAGTCCCATTTATATTTGATGAAAACTCTTTTCAATGGCACATTCCAAATTTGTTAGTTCGTAAAATGAAATTGTGTATTGATTCTATTGAATTTCTTGTTGTGCAGGATTTCAAGAAAAGTATTACTTGTGGGGGGTTTTCAGAGCAAAGAAAAAAAATAGTACACAATACAAAAATGATGCAGTGTTTGAAGAGTTACTAGTGGGCACAAACCGTTAACCCCTCAGAAACAGTAGATAAAGATTTTGGGGGACTTCTGCTAGTTTTTGTTTAGTCAATCAGTAATTCGGTTGTCTATACCCATCCATGTATTGATGTGAATTAGCACATTTTGATAGTTAGTACTCGTTTGTTCAATCTGTCTCAAAACTGTTTTATATTTTAGTTATTAGATTTACAGATCTATTATAATTTTGTTTTCCTTTTTATTATAATTGTTGAATATAGTGAGAACTAGATATATGGTTAATCTCCTTGTGTGTAAAATACACATAGGGTATCAAAAGGAGATCTTGCCTAATCAATATCTAAATAACCGACAATTTTAGTTTGGTTATTGTGATCATATAACAAACATTTTTTAGAGGAGATCCTTTAATGTACTTTAATATATGGATGATTGCATTCTAATGATCTACACATGGAGAATTAAGAAATTGACTCACCACATGGAGAATTAAGAAATTGACTCACCACATGGAGAATTAAGAAATTGACTCACCACATGGAGAACTAATCTTCTGTACTTTTCAGGATCTGAGAGAGGTTCCCCTGATTAGATAGGAGTTTGGTATTGGGGATCCATGAGTGTGTTAACAGATTTTAAGTTCATCAACTTAGTTTCCTCTAAAATATCCAATGTATATTTTCTTTGAGATATAAAAATACCATTATTGGATTGTGCTATCTCAATTTCCAAGAAATATCTAAGTTTGTCAAGATCTTTGGTCTCAAAGTGATGATAAAGATGTTGCTTCATATGAGAGATGTCATGGTGATCAATCCCTGTAAGAACAATATCATCACCATACACTATTAAATAGATACACTTAGTATTTGGTGACGATAAAAGACTGAATGATCTGTTTCATTGCGAGTCATACCAAACTATTGAACAACAATGCTAAATTTTTCAAACCAGACCCTATGAGACTGTTTTAGGCTATATAAAGATTTGTGAAAATGACATACCAATCTAGAAGACTCCCTTTGCGTAACAAAACCTGGAGGTTGTTTCATATAAATTTCTTCCTGCAAATCTCCATTAAGAAAAACATTTTTGATATCCAGTTGGTAAAGAGGTCATTGTTGAAGAACAACCATGACTATGAATAAGCGAACAAAAGTCATATTTGCCACTGAGAAAAAGTATCACCATAGTCAAAACCAAAAATTTGTGTGTAACCTTTGACCACAAGATGAACTTTGAGACGGTCAATAGTACTATAAGGACCAACTTTGATAGCAAAAATCCACCTGTAACCAACCACAGATTTCTCAAACGATAATGAGACAATCTCTCAAGTTCCACTATTTTGAAGAGCACTCAGTTCATCAAGCATGTCTGACGCCAACCAGGATGGGTTAAGACATCACCTATGGATTTGGGAATTGACACAAAAGAAAATAGATAAAAGGCAAGTATAAAAAGGTGGATATAATCTAAGATAAACCAAAACAGTATAATGAGAAGAGGGATTATGGGTAAAACGTATATCTTTACATAGGGCAATTGGAAGGTCAAACTCAATTGTCAGAGTTGGAGAAGACAAAGGAGTTGACACTAGAAGTGAGCCATTTGGTGGTTGTTGGGATTGCTGTCTTTAGTTATAAACTTGAAGTGATGGTGGTGAAGGAGAATCTAAAGGTGAACTAGGCATAATAGGAGGATCACACAACAGGAATATTGACTATAACAAACGGAGACACATATAAAAAAGAAGGACACTTAAGATAAAAGGAAGACTCATTAAATGTGATATCTGTAGTAATAAAATAACGGTTAAAAGAAGAAGAGAAACACTTATATCATTTTTGTGATCGAATAAATCTTAAAAAAAAACACATTTGTGTGATCTAGGATATAACTTTTCAAGACCAGGACTAAATTATGAATAAAATATTTAGACCCAAAAACTTTAAGAGGTAAGAGATGTAGATGTTCATGAGAAAATAAAAGAGAATGAGAAATTATGTTATTTAAAACCGAAGATGACATGCGATTAATAACATAACATGCAGTAAGAACATCATCACTCCAAAAAATGTTGAGGAACCTTATCATGAATTAAAACAGTGTGAGTTGTTTCAATAAGATGTCTATTATTGCGTTCAACCACCTCATTTTGTTGAGGTGTATAAGTACATGAAGTTTGATGAAGAATGTCATGAGAAACTATAAAATGTTTAAAAGAATGAGAAAGGTATTCACGGTCATTATCTCTTCGCAAGCTACTGTAATTTGGCAAGACTAGGATAACCTAGCTGAGTATAGAGGAAAGATGGAGACTGCATAACTGTACCAACTAGTGGCGGATCTTGACCATTGATCTTGGAGGGGTCAAATAATATATTATTAATAAATAATAAATAAATATAAAATGAAGTAAGAAGATGAAAGGGTGAAAGGATAAAATTGTAAATATATATACTTAAATATATTAAATGATCATTAAGTTTGAGGGAGATAAAATCATAAATTATATGAGAGTTACAAAACTGAGGAGGAACTGAGAGGATAAAATTGTAAATATACAAGTAAATATATTAAATGTTCATTAAGTTTGGGGGACCAAAATCATAAATTACATGGGAGTTACAAAACTTTGGGGACCACGACCCCTCGACTCCCAAGAAGATCCGCCATTGGTACCAACATGTGTAGAAGAACATAGATGATAAAGACCATGAGATTCACATTTGGTGTCAATCATCTGTCTTGAACTCTAGTCCGATAAACAAACAGAATTTTTGATAAAAGAAATAACACAATAAAGAGAACGGGTTCGACGACGACTAATACATAATAAGTTAAAGGGAGACTAATGAACATAAAGAACATTATCAATAGATAAAGATAAAAAAAAAAATTAACAGTACATTCATGAGATGAGACCTAAAATATGTTCAAGGACATGAGAATATTTATCAGCAAGTCCATATAATGTCAACAACAAGAAGAACTTTGACCTTTGCTCTAGTTCTTGGAGAGGAGTAGATGCAAGAGGTAATAACTCATTAAAGTATATTTAAGTATATATTTAATATATTTTGCCTTGTGACAAATTTACTCACTTATATTTACTCACTTATTCACTATTATATACACTATTAATATACATTATTATTTACTCACTTATTCATTCAATACTGATGCAGGGTGACCAATTGATAAAATGAGAAATGTAGACATGAAATGAATAGAAAGACTAAAAATCAATCTTACACATTGTGTCGTTTTACATTACTTTTATGTATTGAATAGCTGTTTAGTTATATGCTTATTAAATTAAAAGGCGATACTTAAATATAATAATAAGAGATTTAAAAAAATATATTTTATATATACATAAGTACTTAATTATATATATTATCAAATTATTTATATAATTATTAATTTTTTTAATAAATTAATTTTTAAATTAATATTTTATCTATTTTGTAATAGTATATATTTTGATATGCAATTATAAAATTATATTTTTGTAAAAATGTTTCAATTTAAATTAATAAATAATATTATATTATAAAATATAAAATATATTAAATTATTCATTTGATTTTTATAATTATTTTCACATTTATCACATTGAAATAACATAATTAAAAGTTTATATATATAATTATAATAATTATTAATAAAAGAAAGAATAATTTATTAAAATTATATTTATCTTATATTTTTTTCTCCTTATGTGGGTTGTATTTATAAGTAATATTTTTATTAAATTATTTTTTTATATTTCTTTTTCTTTTATGTTAATAAATAAAAAATATTTTTTTATACTAAAAATTTATTTTCTTTTCACCTTCGCTAATAAATAAACACAAACTAATTATATAAAAAAATTAATTCAAAATTTTTATTAAAATACTTAAAAAATTATTAAAATTTAAACTAAAATTATCAATTACAACAAAAAAACTTTTTTAAAAATAATCATATAATTCTGATTTTTAATTGTACATTGAAATACATAAAAGGAACAACATTACTGTTAGGTTTGATTTTTTTTTTAAATATTATTTTTCTAAAATACTAAATCATTAATATATTAGTTTAGTATTTTATATAATTTTATTTTATCTTAGAAAAAGAATAATATTTTTATTTTTTTTATATTTTAATTAAACATAATAGTCTTATTAAGATGCTAATAAGTATTTATGTTTATTCAATTACATAACTTAAATTTGATTTTAACATTTTTTTAATTGTAAGTTTTCTTTACATAAACTGCAATAAAAACAGGTATTTGATTGTACAAGTTAGAAATTTATGAATTTAATTATATTTTTATAGTATAATATCTATTATACTTACGTGTATCGCATTTAAAAGTAGAAGTCAAATATAATTTATTTATATTTTTTTCTTTCAATTTTTAAGACAAAATCGAAACCAACTAAATTTTTATTTTGAATATGATTATAATAATATTATCATAATTGAAATGAGATTAATCACTTTTATTACTAAACGAAATAATATTTATTATATAAATATTTTTAAAACTATTATAATATATAAATAATGTATTTAATTATATAATTATATATAATATTATAGTTAAAAGATAATTATTAATATTACAATGTATATATATAATTTATTATTTACGATAAAAGATTAAAAAAAAACTACCTAACTTTTCAATAACAATATCATTTAAAGATCTTTTTATTATTTTTATTTTTTATATTAACTTAAAATATTGGAATATTTTTTATAAGTGATTTTTTCTTTTTATATTCAGTAGAACTTAAGTGATTTGTTGGAGCTTATTACAGCTTAATAAAACATTCTCTTTTTTATGACTTGATTAAGGTTATTTATGATGCAAGATAATCCTATGTACATAGGTTAAAGTTATTTATGACGTAAGGTATATTTGATTGAATACCTTAATATAGAAGTCCAATAATTTTTTTTTTAACAAAACATAATTATAATATTAATATATTTTAATTGTTTTTCTTAAGAAGAAAATTATATTTTT